CCGCCGGGGGGGTCTTCTGTCTGGTTCTGGTGGTCCTCTGCTCCGCCGTGGTGGTCCTCTGCCCCGCCGTGGGGGTCTACTGTTTGGTTCTGGTGGTCCTCTGCTCTGCCGTGGTGGGTCTCTGCTCCGCCGTGGTGGTTCTCTGCCCCCCCTTGGTGGTCTACTGTCTGGCTCTGGTGGTCTTCTGCTCTGCCGTGGTGGTCTGCTGTCTGGCTTTGGTGGTCTTCTGCTCCGCCGTGGGGATCTTCGGTCCCGTCTGCTCTGCTGTGGTGGTCCTCAGTTCCACCCGTACTGCTGGCTCCACCCTGGCTCCCTGCTCTGCCGGGCCTGCCTCAGTGCCCGGTCTCTCCACTTTCACGTGGACCTGGCCTTCCTTCCTTCCTCCTGTTCCGCCTCCGCTCCACCGCCCACCTGAATCGTATAGTGTTTGGAGCGTCTGGAAGCCGCTCCTTGGGGGGGGGGGCTCTGTCACGAATTCGGTCCATGGACTTCCGTTTTTTTCACCACCAAAGGTCACCCTTTCCATTACATTGACTCTCGCACTGCACCTACTGTTGCTTATCATCCCGGACTACATATCCCATCATTCATTGCACTGATTGCACTCAGCACGGATTGCACACAGCTGTTTTCACTGATTGCACACAGCTGTTTCACATCACTCACTCACTATATAACACTCACTCAAACTACCATTCACTGCCGAGTATTGCTCAGCCTGTTATTTTTCCTAGTTCCTGTTTCCTTCCCGTGTTTCCTTGTTTTGCCTTGCCTTGTCGGTTTCCTCGGTTCTGATTTTTGCCTGTCTCCCTGGATTTATCCCTCTAGTCTCGCCCCTGTGATTCTGTCTGCCGATCGTCGACCTACGCTAGCCCTAGGACTATTCTTGTGTTTTGCCCGCTATATACCTGTTTGCCATTGTTTGACCCTGCCTGTTATGACCACGTCTCTGTCTTCTGTTCAGAATAAAGCTTGTACATGGATCCACACGTCTCACGTCTTGTCAGCCCCGTAACATAGGGGAAGATTATCATTCAATAACAGCATAGTTTTGTTTGAGAAAAAAAAATCAACACTTGGGCTATTTTTATGATGCATTTTGAAGATTAACACTTCAATCACCATTCACTGCAACAGCATAACCAACAAACCGAAATGACCAACAAACCGGCGAACTGTTCCTTTAAACACCAACAATGATGTTGCTTTTGTGTCTAAATGGAAAGTATATTCTAATACAAATGATTTGCGACGCCACGCCTATGAGAATATTCTCTAACATAGTGCTTCTCTACACAAGCAGCGATCATATTAGTCTGCTTGAGGAGAAACCATGAGTGAGACGGTCTACAGCAAGCGTTGATCCAGACAGCTGTCAGAAAAGAGATCAAAGGGTCTGGATGAACTCACTCCAGATCAGTGGGCAGAGCAGTAGTGAATCTGTGTAAATACTGTTAGCCATCATGCATGAGCACAGACAGCACTGGCTCAGGTTGTATGACCTGTGAGGAAACCATGGCCTTCTGTGTGCACAGTGCATTGCCCGATCAAATCTCGCTAAACTACAATAGCTAGACCTCTGAACTCTCATGTCTGTGGACTACATATCCCAACACCTCTGCAAAACCATTACAGAAAATGTGACAGATGAGTGTATGGTGACCTGTGAGGTTACTCTGCATCCTTCACTGCCCACAACTTCATGGCTTCAATACAATAAACCTGACTGTATCCATAGTCATTCATATAAACACACATATACACTACTGTTCAAAAGTCTGCGGTCAGAAGTTAATACTTTTATTCAGCAGGGACGCATTAAAATTATCAAAAGTGACAGTAAAGTATACTGTATATATATATAATTTTTTCATACATTTTAATACAGTGTGCCATAAAACTGCTGACAAATATTGACATATCAGGTCTCTGGGACTCTTCTTCCATTATTGCATCTCCTTCTATTATTATCTGAAGTTATCTGAAGTTTATAAACTATTAACGTTCAGTCTGATAAATAATGCAAAGAAACAGGAAGTGAAGTTTCATCATAAGGACAGATGGGCTGCACTTCATGACTTATACATACACGTTTTCCGAGCGGAGTCCTCTACGAATAGAGAGGAGATGTCCTCGTCCACTCCTGCCTCGTTACGGGCAATGCAGGTATAGGCACCGGTGTCCTCGAAATGGACGTTACTGATGTGCACCTCACTCCCGTTAGCTGGAAAGGAAAAAAAAGAATGAAGGAAAGCATGAAGTGAACCTTTCCACCATCACTTCTAAATCACTTGAGACAGAAAAAGCTCTATTTATGTAAGTTCTTCTAATGGGATGGTAAAAAAATGTGTTTGATAACGGCTGAAACATTTATAGTGTTCTCAAGTTGTCATGTTAGCTTTAGTCTGAACAGCTGACGTCGGAGGAATGTTTGTTGATGAGAGGCCCCACAGGGGGGATTGTGGGATTGAGTAAAGATCTAGATCATGACAAACACGTCAATCACTGCTACAGTGCAACCAGCAGGCATCACGGCTAAATAAAGCTTCTTCAGAATGACAAGATCAACGTTGGCTTGTGTGAAGATATGGGTACATTTTTTTTCAATGTGAAATCAGCTAGTGTAAAGCTTTTGTTGAGAACAGAGAACTGTACTGTCATTAGACTTGGGAATTCCCTGAGTTCTAATTCAGAACTGGTTATATTTTTATCCTGACAGAGTTTTCTTCACTACTTATTTAGCATTGCATTAACCGCTACTGAATCTACAGTGCCAAACAGAGCAGAATGGTCGGATTACACAATGAATTACTCTTGTGTCGGTTCTTTTTAGTAATTTAAACACTTACAACTAACTGTGGGACTAGATGTTCCTAAGACAACATTATGCATTTGTCATTATTATTATAATTTTTTTTCAAATGCAGAATAAAATGTTACTACATTTTCAAAAGTTTGGGATTTTCCAGTAAGATCTTTAAATATTTTTGAAAATAATATGTAATAACATAATATCTAATACAATAACAAAACATCTAATAATTATATCTTATGCTGGATCAAGGCTGCATTTATTTGATCAAAAATACAGTAAAAACAGTAGTAATGTGGAATATTATTACAAAAAAAGTTATTTTTTATTTTAATTTTAATATAGCTTAAAATGTATTCCTGTAATGCAAATCTGAATTTTCAGCATTGTTATTCCAGTCTTCAGTGTCATATGATCCTTAGAAATCATTCTAATATGCTGATTTGCTGCTCACAAATCACTTATTATTATAAATGTTGAAAACAGTTGTACTGACAAATATTCTTGTGCAAACCTTGATAGTTATTTTTCAGGATTTTTTAATGAACATCATTTACATTTGAAATCCTTTTGTCTACTCTGACTTTTGATCAATTTAGTGCATCCTTGCGGAATAAAAGTTTAAATATAATACAGCAAACAGTCTTACTAACCCCAAACATTTGAACGGTAGTGTATACTTAATGTCACATCTAAAAAGACTGAAAAGTCATTAAAAATCTGTTTAAACACACCTTTATTATTAAAATTTCATATTTCATTTGGCAGTGGAATTGCATTTTCATTCCAAACATTTATTCCTTAAATAAACTAAAATGCTCTTGAATGGGACCATTAGGAACCAGAATCAAAATGATTTAATTCTTTATGATTGCCATTCATAATTGTCACATACTGTCCTTCTGTGTGGGGAAGTGTGTAATTTCTGTGCCATTAGCAGCATTACTGTTTCAGTCATAATAATTACATTTCCAATGGTTATTTGTTTGTACCCTGAAGTGTGAGTTGCTTGGAGAGTTTTGTGGTGATGTCCATGCCGTTCTTCAGCCATGAGAGTTGTGGGTTGGGGATGCCCTCAGCATAGCACCGCAGACTGGCTGTAACCCCCGGCTCGCGTGCCTGGCTCTCTGGATACACCCGGATAACAGGGGGCACTATGAAAAAAACAGAAGAAAGGACAGAAGTGTACGCAAAGTGAACAAATCAACAAATAAACAACATCCTGAATGGTTAGAATGGCAAAAAATATTTTTTCCTTTTATTTACAAGTAAGTATTTGTTTGCCTTTTAATATGCCACCAAATCATCACAGATACTCAAATGAGCTTGAGAGGATGGTTGCCAAGTTGTCATTAATTATTAAATAAAGATTACTCTTAGAAAAATAAAAAATACAAGCCAAGCATGATAATAATCAGAACAACAATTATAAGTATCTGTATTTAACCAGTTTACTTTATATGAGAGGAAATTGGAGAAATGAGGGGAAATGTTTGGACAGCAGTGGCGGGGGCACCATTTTGTAGCAAGCAAGGGGGCTGATTTAATGAAATGCTTTGCTTCAAGGCACAGGGAGTAGAATCTGTGTCTTAAGCTCCCTGGGACTCAGACTATTTACTGTGGAGTTCAACTCACGATTGGAAATCAGAAATCATTTAGTGTAAAAATCGCGAGCTCAGGCCCTTGTGGTGTTCCAAGATCAGCTCATTGGTAATGAGCAGATTATGATAAACAGTAAACCATGTGAAAACAAAGCCATGCATGATGGAAATGTAGGAAAGCATATTAGCATATATGTGATACCGAGTTTGAGAAAGAAAGATAAACATATCTAATATAATTCTAAAAGTGCATGTTTAGAAATCAAAATTTTACCATATTTACATATTAATAAGTGTTGCTCTCCATTTGATAAATATAAATGGAAAAAAAAAATTAATAAAAAATGTAATAATAAAAAAATATATATATATTAATGACACTCTATGGTTGTTTCTTATTTATTTACACACTTGTGCGGTCGAACAGTTTTATAGAAACAATATCACACTCATAGTGTCACGAATTCGGTCCATGGACTTCCGTTTATTCACCACCAGAGGTCACCCTTTCCATTACATTGACTCGCAGCTTTTCTGAGGAACATTGGCCAGGTATGGACACCGCAAGGATTTTGTTAGCCCTTAAACAGGGTCCACGATCACTGGAGAACCTGCGATGGCATAAATCAACCTCTGAGGGCTAAGCCTCTGAGGGTCCACGTTCATCACTCGCTCAGTTCATGGATTATGCTTTGTTGACTGTCGGATCTTTATTTATTTATGCACGCTCACAAAATGGCGGCGGCAGTGGAGCCTGATCGCAAAATGGCGGCCACTCTAGAGCACGCTCACAAGATGGTGGCGACAGCGGAGCACACTCACAAGATGGCGGACACAACAGCATCTAGTCAAGTCACGGTTGATCATCATGAGTCAGGTCAAGTAACAGTTTATTATCATGAGTCTAGTCAAGTCAC